TGATCATGTTGGAGTTGGAGCTTATTGAGGTGGAAAAACAGTTAATTTTAGTGAAATTACTAAAACCGAAAGGCAGAAATGAGTGAAGACGTCGGAGGAGATGGTACGTGTGGAAATGTGTGAGAAGGTACATGCGGTAATGCGTAGGAGGATATGCGATGCTACCAAGCCGACCAATCACCGATCTTGCGGTCTGCGTTGTCGCGACGTGTAGTTACATTTTTAAAGAGATGCGCATCAGGCTACGGCGAAGGGTACGCGGTAGGGCTGGGCGATATGACGATATATATCATTACCACGGTAAAAAACGTCAGTCGTAACAGATTTTTTTATTCCGTGTATACCGTGAAATGTAAATAAGTGGGCGTGGTTAACTCCCGTGCAGCGCGCGTGAGACTGATGCTGAGATTTGTCAAAGAAATATGGAGAAAGCAGACCAAGAGGATCCACAAAGGAATTACGTTTTCTAAAGGGTTGTTGTTAACGTGATATGTTCGGGGGGAAAGGCAGCCGTCAACTTGAGCAGAGCAGCAGCACCCTGGCTACAGTTTAGAGGAGTGCACGTTCGCAATGGGGAAAGCATGAAGTTACTTGATAACAACATTTCATAGGCTATATCAATATCATTACGAATAGAAATAACCTTAAATAATGTATAGTTATCCACATCTTTCCTTCTCTTATGTATAGTTACTTTTTAAACATGAAAATGATTCAGCATGAATGAACATCCTGCTTGTTAAAACGAATATATAATCCTGTTTCTGAAGCAAAATTGCTAAATATGCAGCGCGAGTTATATATTTTTTTAACTCCAAACAATTTCCCACTGAACCAGTTGATAAAATCTTCCTTTGGTTCGATCCATAATTACAACTTGACTCTCAAATCAATCGATCGCATTTTGTTGATGCAAAAGACGGGTGCGTGCACATGCACTGAGAGGGAGCGCGCGGCGTTCACCGGGCTATGGACTAATAATGACGCACTGTTATAAGGTGTGTATAATTTAAACTACTTAGTCAACACTAACAGTAGCTGCTGTTTGGTTTTCATATTGCTGCTCTCCTTCTAGTCACTTCTGAACTTGATGAACTTGACACTTCTGAACTCCTCTTGATTAAAGCTCAGGGTGACGGGTTGCCAGATATCACAAAAAAGCAAAACAAGTGCTTATAAATGCAGTATAATAAGCACATGTGGTAAAAAATATATTATAATTATATTATAAACTGATTGCAATGCATGAAATTGAAAAATTATTTAAAGTTGAAATGCACCTATGAGTTGTATTTAATATCAATCTGTTGTGGGAAGTTCATCTAAAAGTTGATGAGTGTTTTTTGTTTACTATATTTTGCTATAAATATAGTTTACCAAATAAATAATTTACCAAATAAAATAAAAATATAAAACAAGGTGACATACTTTTCATTTCTAAAGTATTTGGGTTTATTTATTATACAAAGCCCTTTTTGTCTTTTTTTTTTTTTGAGGATAACTATATAAATAACTATATCGTGAAATATATCGTTACCGTGAAATAAAATTAGTCAAATCGTGAAACACAATTTTGGTCATATCGCCCACCCCTAGTACGCGGTATGTGCGTATGCTACGCCGTACCTACCACGCGCAGAAGTATAAATTGGCCTTACGTTGTCTAAGTGTGAACAAAGGAGCCCTGAACATCAGTCTTAACTCTCAGCATGACCTGGGATGGCACCATGAAATCAGAGTCCTGGTGAGTAGTGACAGTAAACATTGCGTTGGAGAAGGCATGCCATCCCTGGTGTTGCGCAAGTTGAGCAAGGCTCTTGAATTTTCTACTTGAAAATGATCTTCTAATGTTGCATTGAGCTTTAGAGCATTGCACGGAGCACATCTGGAAACTTATCTTTCAATGTCACTGTATACTGAAGGCCAGAACATGGTTTCATGTGCCCTTCACTTTAGTGGACTGAATGCCAGGATGACATTGATGAATTTTTGGCAAGTAAGTATTTCTGGGGAGTGAGGGAATACATACCTCTGACCACGCAGAATCAATCCATTTTCCATGTCAATGCATCTCTCATAGCTTAAAACATGCAGATGTAATGTGGAATTTCCTTGTATGAGCCAGGCCACCCGGTAAGAATGGTGTCCACAAGGCTGACGGAGGGGGAGAGATGTTATCTCACTTTAACAATTTATTAATGATGTATGAATAATTGGTCATGCCAAGAAACCTCTGCAAACCATGTTTGCCCTCTGGGGAAGGGTTTCCTTGGTTTTGTCTGGGTCAGGCTTAACACTTTTTATCTGTGAGAAAGTGGCCCACATATGGTGCCTCAGAGACCCTAAAGCTTCATCTTGTCAGGATCAGCTGTAAATCCGGCTCTGACACACATTTAAGAGGTTTGTTGTGTTCCTCTACAGAAGAGACCCAGATCAAGATGTCATCTATGCCTATTTCATGTGGCTGTTAAGAAAAGAGCTCTTCCTTGCATCTTCTAGTTTCAATGATTCCATATCCAGTGGGATTTACCAGAATTCACAGCTTGCATCTAGAATGCTGAATGAAGACCTTTGCCTGTGGCATATCAACGATTACTTGCTCTACAGTCTTTAATGGGTAATGAGGCATCAAGAGAGCCTTGTTAAGATGTATGGGGAGTAGCTTCTTCCACTGCCAAAGTTATTTCTAGTCTGGCCATCCTTTCCAACTCTTGGGAAACTTTTGTTTTCTCAACGTTCTATTTTCATATCTATTGGTGATCCTCACTTTCCACTTAATTTATGATTTAATTGAATTTTTTCATTCTTTCTTTCATCAGGTTTTTACATCATGATATTCTGTCTATGCATGTCTGTTTATTATCATGTTCCGTTCCGGCAAGCAGATCTCATACAATTTCTTAACACAACAGGATCATCTTTGTCCTCACCCACTTACCATCCTCCCAGTCTCTTCCCCCCATTTTTCATTTTAAAACGTATGGGTCCCATCCATCAGAATCAGAACGAGCTTTATTTGCCAAGTAGGTTTACACACAAGGAATTTGTCTTAGTAGCAGGTACTTCCAGTGCAGAAGAAAGTACAGACATCATGCAGACAAACATGATAGAGCAGGCATACAAATGAATTACACAGTAAAAATGAAATCAAAAAAATAATATAATAAACAAAAATAATGCAATATAGTAGAGAAATTTAAGGTTGGGCAAGGGAACCAATAATCTTGTCAACCATCCTACATCTATGGATTTGTGCGACACACATATTCTACATTAAACAAATTGCCAAAATGTCATGATACTTTAGAGAATTTATGATGCTAGTCGCATGGTCAAGATTTTTACTAACTGTAGCAGCAAAGCACCAGCAAAGCACCCCTATAACAAGACTTGACCCACCTGCATGTTTGACCTTGGGGATGGTTTTCTTATAATCATAAGCCATTACTTTTTTGTGCCAGACATATTTCTTTATTTTTGGTCCATCATTTTTTAGTTTGGTCTCGTCATTCTGGTACGCAAGATCATGTGATGGCACACTACAGCTTAACATAGAAGTACCAGTGCATACTGGTTCGCCAGAGCACTGAAAATGATGCTGCAATCTGTGTCTCTAGGAACTTTTAATGTCTTGGAATGTTTTTATAGCCATAGCCTTTTTGATGTAATAAAACAACTTTTCTCTTAGCTTTTGTGAGAGCTCTTTTGTCTTGGTCATATTTGCTGCTCAACTTCAGCACTAAATTGAAACAATTTAAAATGCATTTGTCACAACTTAAAGCTGCAGTCCGTAGTTTTTCCTCTTTGTCACCATCTCTGTTCGAAATCTGCAATTGCAGTTATTCGCAGAATTATCCACTTTATGTGGGTTGTGCCTCGGCTCTAGCTTTACGTTGTCATACTCAGATTCTAGTCAAAATATGAGTCTGATACTGCTCCATTGGGCTAAGATTATGGGGCGTGTTTCAACCAACCTAGGAAAGAAAATGCCTCTGCACTCAATTGGATGACTATTACAACTAACTTACAACCTACAACTAATCAGAGCAACTTGATTAAGTGACGTATGTTGAATCCCATAGGAAGGACAGCAAAAACATCTTCCCTATCGGCAAATGCCTTGATCGCTGTTCTCTGTTTCTCTGAATGTGCTGTCAATGTCTTCTATAACAGACGCGATGGCGGAATCTACACATCTCAATTCTCCACAGATTCTACTTTTTGGAAATATTACCAACCGAAGAATTTTCACTGGAAAATGTCATCTGAACAAGTAACATCCACTTTTGTTCTGACCAACTAAGGGGGGACAAAAAGCATTGCAGTAAATCGAGCTGATTAAATCTAACGATCGCCTATGTCTTACCTGTCCGGCAGAAAAAAAGTTGTCTCTGCATCCGCTTTGAACTCCTTCAAAACACAGAGTTCACGTCACCTTTCAAAAGACCTTTCGATGTTTATACTTGTTTTCGCATGGGTCCGGTTGCGGTCGCTTTTTTTCTGTAGCCACTCTGAAGTCAGAAGTCTTTTGCATTTTACAACGGGTGGATCTCCAGTTGTCACTGGTGATGAACTGCATAACATAATGTTCCAATCCATTCTGACAGTAAATATTTTGTTCTCAGGTCTTTCCCATAGTGATGACTAAAGCAATTTGGCCTATTTATCACCATATATTTATTTTACCAGTAAACAGGAAATAATTTACAAGGACATAAAAACAAACATTATAAATGAAAACATACTTCAGATTTTTACTCAAAATATTTCTAGTGGTGCTAATAATTGTAGCACAAATTTAGGAGAAAAAACTTTTCACATTTGTTTGTTCTTAGATTTTCTGTCTAAACGGCCACATTTTCATAGCCCTTTATTTACCAAGGGTGCTTATATTTTTCATTGCTTTTTTAAAACTAATTAAAAAAATATCACCCAGCCCTTTAGTTAGGTTATGATGAGATAATGCTCATGTTTCCTCTAATGAATGTGTCTTTTCACAGTATTCAGCGCTATGCTGTGATCCCACTTTCCACCAACTCTGGTCTGATCGGCTGGGTTCCTCACTGTGACACGCTGCATGCACTTATTCGAGACTACCGAGAGAAGAAGAAGATCCTACTCAACATTGAACATCGCATTATGCTTAGGGTAAGACGTCTTAAGCACAACAAATACAGCTTCCTAATGTGACACCACATTTATTTGTGAAAAAAACCCTTTTCATTACAAAATAACAATTTTTTGCGATATTTGAAGTACCTACAGTATATAAAAAGTATGTGCTAAAGTTTAAATATTGTGTTCATAAGGATAAGATAAGGAATTCCCGCACACTATCATTACTTGCACTTTTCAATCAAGTTTATTCACACACAACGTTTCGGTCACACGACCTTCGTCAGGAGTATACAAAATGTTCAAAAACATCTCTTTTTAAATGCGCACATGACCACTCCACAGAACTCCATCTGTAAACAATTAAGCTCATTAGGAGTACATAATTAGCCCCACATCACAGACAACTACAAATTGTAATAGATTACAAAATTAGTTAAGATCACCCCGTAGATCAACAAGAAAAAAAACACATTATTGTCAAACAATATCAAATTGTACTTCCAAACAATTGTAACAGTCAGGCTCCTTAGCCACCCAAACTCCTTGCAAATCCATAATAAAGAAGAGGGAGAAAAAAAATATATATAATAATAATAAAACTAAATAAATAAATCAACACATCATTATCCAACAATATCAAGTTGTACTTCCAAACATTTGTAACAGTCAGGCTCCTTAGCCACTAAAACTCATAGCAAATACATGATAGGAAAAAAAAAAAATTAATTACAAAATCACTATAACATTACATTAAATAATGCTTCGTCCTTCATACCCTTAGGTGATAAAGTTTGAAGAGTGTAAATCCAGACCAACTCACCTCTCTGTAGGAGTGATTCTATGTCGCCCCCTCTAGGTGGCAAAGTCACTTTCTCAATCCCACAAAACCGTAAAGAAGTAACATCGTGATTCAAAGTTACAAAATGTGCCGAAACTGGATAATTCATATCTTTTCTTCTGATCGAACTTTTATGTTCACTAATTCTTAGTTTCAATTGTCGTGACGTTTTCCCCACATAGCCAATACCACACGGACAACGAATCAAATAAACCACATGAGTGGAAACACAATTAATCACAGATTTAATGCTATATTTTCTGCCAGTTCTAGGGTGACAGAAAAATTATGTTTTGAAAGTATTATTACACTGGGCGCAATTGCCACAACGATAGTTGCCCTTCTGTATAGGACTAAGTAGGCTCTGAGATGTACGAGGACTAGTACTCTGAAAACGAGCATGTACCAAGCTGTCTTTTAAATTCCTAGCACGTTTGTATACAATCAAAGGAGGATGTTTAAAAATATCACTCAACTCCGGATCAGATGACAGCTGTCACAGTCTGTCGTCTTCACCTGTTGTGTCCCGTCATCTGCACCACACTTCCCCGGATCCTTTTGTTCCTCTCCCGGACTCACTCCCCAATCAGCCACCTGTTCCTCGTCCTGTCATTATCATTTCCACCTGTGTTCACCTCATTTAGTCCTGATTCCCCTGTGTATTTAGTTCTCCCTCCTTCAGTCGGTGTTTGTCGGTCAATGTTGAATGTTACGCTGTGAAACCCTGTCCTCCTGCCTGTATTTTCGAATTAAATGTCTCTTTATCGAGATTCTGAACTCAGCCTGTTCTTCTGCCTGCACCCGCACCGTGACAGATTGACCGACCCAAAAAAGCAACATGGACGCCGTGATCTTCCGGGGGATCCTCTACCCGGTCCTGCGACCCCGGTTACGTCTCGTTCCCCGGAAGTCTGCGCTCACCGTCAGCCCTGCCGAGCCCGCGCTCACCGTCAGCCCTGTCGAGTCTGCGCTCACCGTCAGCCCTGTCGAGTCCGCGCTCACCGTCAGCCCTGCCGAGTCTGCGCTCACCGTCAGCCCTGTCGAGCCCGCGCTCACCGTCAGCCCTGCCGAGCCCGCGCTCACCGTCAGTCCTTTTGAGCCAGAACGCTCTTCACTGCTGGTTCCGTCCAGCCCTCCAGAGTCTGTATGCTCTTCACTGCTGGTTCCGTCCAGCCCTCCAGAGACTGTATGCTCTTCACTGCTGGTTCCGTCCAGCACTCCAGCGACTGTATGCTCTTCACTGCTGGTTCCGTCCAGCCCTCCAGAGACTGAAGGCTCTTCACTGCTGGTTCCGTCCAGCCCTCCAGAGTCTGTATGCTCTTCACTGCTGGTTCCGTCCAGCCCTCCAGAGACTGTATGCTCTTCACTGCTGGTTCCGTCCAGCCCTCCAGAGACTGTATGCTCTTCACTGCTGGTTCCGTCCAGCTCTCCAGAGACTGTATGCTCTTCACTGCTGGTTCCGTCCAGCCCTCCAGAGTCTGTATGCCCTACACTGCTGGTTCCAACCAGCCCCGTCCAAACCGTTCAGCCAGCGCCAGGACCGTCCAGCCAGCGCCAGAGACCGTCCAGCCAGCGCCAGAGACCGTCCAGCCAGCGCCAGAGACCGTCCAGCCAGCGCCAGAGACCGTCCAGCCAGCGCCAGAGACCGTCCAGCCAGCGCCAGAGACCGTCCAGCCAGAGCCCGAGACCGTCCAGCCAGAGCCGGAGACCGTCCAGCCAGAGCCCGAGACCAGGATCCCACCCAGCCTCCCTCTCCCACCTCCTCCCGTCATGCATCCGTCAGCCCCTCCGTCTGCCAGCTCCCCTGACCCAGCTGGGTCGTTGGATCCCCGGCCTTCGCCTCACACCTCCTCCATCTGCACACTTCCTCGGCCCCCGGTCCCATTGGCTCCCCCGTGGCTCCTACCTCCCTCAGCTCCTCCATGGCCCCTCAGTCCACCAGCTCGGCCAGGCTCCCTCGACCCTCCGGACTCCCTTCGCTCCCTCGTCATCCTCCCTTCACCTTTGGACTTCATTCCTCTGGCTCCGCCCCGTCATGTCACCCCCCCGGTTCCGTCGGACTCCTCACTCCCTCCAGTCACCCGTCAGCCCTCACGCCCTCTGACCTCACTGTGTCCCTCCGTGCCCCTGTCATCACTTTGGTCACCTGAGCCTGCGGGGTCACCATGTTCCCTCAGTCCCTCATCAGCACCACATGTCGTCAGTCACTCAGCTTCACCTTGGTCTCCTCTCCCATCTGCTCCGCCCCTGTCAGTCGGCCCCCTGGTGTCGTCAGCCCCGCTTCCATCGGCTCCACCAGGGGTCCTCCCTCCATCTGCTCCGCCCTGGTCTCGCCCTCCATCTGCTCTGCCCTGGTCTCGCCCTCCATCTGCTCCGCCCTGGTCTCGCCCTCAGCCTGCTCCGCCCTGGTCTCGCCCTCAGCCTGCTCCGCCCTGGTCTCGCCCTCAGCCTGCTCCGCTCTGGCCACGTCCTCAGCCTGCTCCGCCCTGGCCTCGCCCTCAGCCTGCTCCGCCCTGGTCTCGCCCTCAGCCTGCTCCGCTCTGGCCACGTCCTCAGCCTGCTCCGCCCTGGCCACGCCCTCAGCCTGCTCCACCCTGGGGGGCTTCCTCTTCCTGACCACGCCCTTCAGCCTCCAGGGCGCCCACCCCCCCTCCCCATTGATGTTACGGCGTGAGGCCACGCCTACCGGGAGGGGGGAGTGATGTCACAGTCTGTCGTCTTCACCTGTTGTGTCCCGTCATCTGCACCACACTTCCCCGGATCCTTTTGTTCCTCTCCCGGACTCACTCCCCAATCAGCCACCTGTTCCTCGTCCTGTCATTATCATTTCCACCTGTGTTCACCTCATTTAGTCCTGATTCCCCTGTGTATTTAGTTCTCCCTCGGTGTTTGTCGGTCAATGTTGAATGTTACGCTGTGAAACCCTGTCCTCCTGCCTGTATTTTCGAATTAAATGTCTCTTTATCGAGATTCTGAACTCAGCCTGTTCTTCTGCCTGCACCCGCACCGTGACAACAGCAAATGCCAGTGTTTTTTAAAAATTGATTTAATCATAAAGGACTTAGGTGAATGTGTTGTAATACAGGAAAAAGAGTACTTTTTTGATTTTTTTTTTTTTTTGTCTTTTTAAAGGCTGTATTGAATGCTTCCTCAACCCAATCTAAAGGGTAACCTCTGTTCAAAAAATTATTTTTCAGGATTTTAGATTTCTCAAAAAAGTCGGAGTCAGAATGACAAATTCTCCTCAATCTGTAGAACTGACTCTTAGGCAGTCCTTTTTTTAGAAAAATAGGATGAAAACTGGTAGCGAGTAACAGTGTGTTACGATCAGTCTCTTTAGTAAACAGAGTAGTAGTCAAACAACCTTCGTTCTTCTGTACCCACATATCAAGGAAGTGTACTTTAACAGAATTGATTTCAGAGGTGAATTCCAAATCATCAACCAAGTTGTTCAAAAATGTAACAAATTCTCGAGCATCCTCGTGATCACCCAAAAAAATACAAAATATATCGTCGATGTATCTGTACCATTTGATGATCTGTGAATAAAAAGGGTTATTCTCTGTATTAAATATATAACTTTCTTCAAAAAAACCCATAAATAGATTGGCATAGTTAGGGGCAAAGTTCGACCCCATTGCTGTCCCACTTATCTGAAGAAAAAAATCATTATCAAAACTAAAATAATTATATTTCAAAAGGTAGGAAGCCATCTGGATAATAAAGTCCGAAGGAGGGCTAGAGTCCTTGCGTAACGAAAGATAATGTCTGAGGGCAATAAGTCCTTTTTCATGCGAAATGTTAGTATATAAACTTGTTATGTCTAAAGTTAACAATACAGAGACGTCCGGTAAATCATGTAACTCAGAGATCTTATTGATGAAATCGGTAGAATCTAGAATGTAAGATGGTAACGAATGAACAAAAGGTTTTATAAAAAAAATCAACGTACTGCGATAAAGGGGATAAGAGAGAATTAGTCTGTGCCACAATCAGACGACCTGGAGGGTCAATAAGTCTCTTATGAATTTTAGGAAGAGTGTAAAAAACTGGTCTAATCGGATGTTGACAATACAAGAATTTAAACTCCGATTGAGATATCCAACCCTCCGTTTTAGCATTTGTTAAAAATGACAATATCTCTGATCGATAGGTATTGGTAGGATCCCCAGGGAGTTTTTTATAAAACTTAATATTCTGTAATTGTGCAAGAATTTCGTGTTGGTATTTTTCCGAATCTTGGACTACAATTGCCCCTCCTTTATCAGCTGGTTTTATAATGATACTTGGGTCACTTATCAATTCAGTCAACGCTTTTTTCTCATTCAATGAAAGATTTTGGGAGATATTATTACTAGAAGAACAAGTTTCCATCACATCTTGTTCGACCAAACGACAAAAAGTATGAATGGTGTGATTAGACACATTAGGGCAGAAATTACTTTTAGGTCTAAAGGGTGTTCTAGATGCACCAGACTCTGATTTGGAGAAAAAGTACAGTAGTTTCATTTGTCTAAAACATTTGAACAGATCCACTTTTAGCCCAAAACAATTAACACCAACAGTAGTCACAAAAGATAGTTCTTTCGATAAAATCCCAATTTGGTCATCAGATAGTTCTTTTTGAGAAATATTGATTACCGTCTCTTTGAGTAGCTGCGGGTCCACGGTCGTGAACTTCTTTGAGGCTCTTGAACCTCTTCGACATTTTTCTTTGTGGTCTCCGTGGAGGGGCTCGTCTGTCCAAAAAAGAAGAAGTCGAAGCATGTGCACTTGAATCACTGTCGATGGTAAACTCACTTTCAGTAGAATCACTCTGTCCATAAAAAAAGGTTGCTCCATTTCTCCTCGTCCGATTGCGAAAAGATGACGTGCTAGGAATTTAAAAGACAGCTTGGTACATGCTCGTTTTCAGAGTACTAGTCCTCGTACATCTCAGAGCCTACTTAGTCCTATACAGAAGGGCAACTATCGTTGTGGGAATTGCGCCCAGTGTAATAATACTTTCAAAACATCATTTTTCTGTCACCCTAGAACTGGCAGAAAATTAAATCTGTGATTACTTGTGTTTCCACTCATGTGGTTTATTTGATTCGTTGTCCGTGTGGTATTGGCTATGTGGGGAAAACGTCACGACAATTGAAACAAAGAATTAGTGAACATAAAAGTTCGATCAGAAGAAAAGATATGAATTATCCAGTTTCGGCACATTTTGTAACTTTGAATCACGATGTTACTTCTTTACGGATTTGTGGGATTGAGAAAGTGACTTTGCCACCTAGAGGGGGCGACATAGAATTACTCCTACAGAGACGTGAGTTGTTCTGGATTTTCACTCTTCAAACTTTATCACCTAAGGGTATGAATGACGAAGCATTATTTAATGTAATGTTATAGTGATTTTGTAATTATTATTATTTTTTTTTCTATCATGTATTTGCTATGAGTTTTAGTGGCTAAGGAGCCTGACTGTTACAATTGTTTGGAAGTACAACTTGATATTGTTGGATAATGATGTGTTGATTTATTTATTTAGTTTTATTATTATTATTATTTTATTTATTTTTTTTCTCCCTCTTCTTTATTATGGATTTGCAAGGAGTTTGGGTGGCTAAGGAGCCTGACTGTTACAATTGTTTGGAAGTACAATTTGATATTGTTTGACAATAATGTGTTTTTTTTTTTCATGATCTTGTTGATCTACGGGGTGATCTTAACTAATTTTGTAATCTATTACAATTTGTAGTTGTCTGTGAGGTGGGGCTAATTATGTACTCCTAATGAGCTTAATTGTTTACAGATGGAGTTCTGTGGAGTGGTCATGTGCGCATTTCAAAAGAGATGTTTTTGAACATTTTGTATACTCCTGACGAAGGTCGTGTGACCGAAACGTTGTGTGTGAATAAACTTGATTGAAAAGTGCAAGTAATGATAGTGTGCGGGAATTCCTTATCTGCTTAAATGACTAGCTAGTCTGGTCTTATTATCCGATGCACCTATCACCTGCAGGTGTGTGATGGAGTTTGGTCACTAATCCTTAGATGGAAACATGGCTAGTGATGCATGAAATAAATAAGCAAGTCAAGTACACAATTTTATCCAAAACAAACTGTGTGGGCAGTTATTACAGGGACAATTCCCTGTGAAGAAATGTGGAGTTACATTCTTTAAATGAGGACACAAGTGCTAACTCTTAGCTAGAGCCATCATGCTTTCTGGTTACAAACCATGAGCTATGCCAATCAGTAAAATGGACCAAATAATTAGGCCTGCATTATGCGGAAAGTGTAGGTAGAAGTGAAAAACTGAAGAAGTAAAACTGATCTCCAAAATAACTCATTCAATGAAATTGTTAACTAAAACTGTGTCATTTATGTTAGATGGCCCCTGACTATGATCACTTGACTCTCATGGAGAAGGTGGAAGTGTTTGAGCATGCCGTGAACAATACAGCAGGAGACGACCTGGCAAAACTGCTCTGGCTTAAGAGTCCCAGTTCAGAGGTTCGCATTCATTATCTTCTCTCCTTCTCATCAAAAAACAGTTGAGTTGTATATTAGGCATGTGGTGGTCATATTATCTGTGATCAGTGTCCATTCCAGTCACTTCATATTAAACACTTTCTGCAGCCCCTCTACATTGCGACATGTGGCAAGATTTTAGTACAAATATATTTTCACTGCATGTTTTGTTCCAAGACTGTTTAGGGCACCTACACTAGAACATTACTGAGTGTCTGTTGGGAAGGAAGGTATAAGCACATTTAAAATTAGGGGTGTGTGATATTGACAAAAAATACTGTATCTCAATATTTTCTGAAGTTTTTTTATGATAATACCGATAATTAGTGTGTGTGTTATTGTGCTGGTTGTGGACCGCTTACTCCCAAAAGCTTTTCCAATTCTTCATATTTTGTGTGGTGGTTTGTTACAGCAGTGAAAGAAATAACTTTTCCACTACGTTCAACCTAAAACCGATTTCATGGGGATTTTTATAATGGCAATTTTTTTATTAGATGTATGCATTATCTATTATGTCAAATTCTTGCATTTATATAATTTATATAGTCAATAAATTTAATTAGAATAATAAGGAATCAATATCAACAAAATCCACTTTTCCTGCTTCTGTGTCACTTCTGCGGTGCATATAAGGCAGCATCTAGATGTATTTACACTGCAATTACAATTGCTTAAATAAACAGAGCAATTCCGAGAGAGTACTCAGTAACACTTTACTTGAAGGGGTGTGCATAAGACTAACATGACACCTTCATAATCATGATATTAAATATGTTATGAATATGAAGGAAGTTTTATGCATGTTTGTGACAACTGTCATTAAGTGTCATTTGCTCAGTAGTGACATTTTTAATGCAACTATCACCTTGACAGAAACCAATATACATCATTACCTGTCATAACCTGTCTTTTTCATGACAACTTGACATTACTAAGACAACAAAACCTGTCATAGACATGACAAAGCAGATTAATTATCAAACCACCTAGTTTTATTGGTTAACATTACATTAAACTCTCAGGTGGTTGGTTTTGACATTGGCTGTCATGAAACCATTATAACTTTTTAATGACGAATTCAATTAGTACCAGTGGTCACAAAAAAATATTCATGACAGTTATAATGGCCTCATGACAGCCAATGTCAAAGCCAACCACATGAGAGTTTAACTTAATTTTATGTCAAGTTGTCATGACAAAGACACTAACAGGTTATGATGTTATGGTTATGATGTCAAGGTGTCATAACAAAGACATCTGAAACAATGTCATATTTGCATTAAAACTGTCATAACTGAGCGAATTACACTTAATGACAGTTGTCACAAACATGCATAAAACTTCCTTCATATTCATAACATATGTAATGTAATGATTATGAAGGTGTCATGTTAGTCTTATGCACACCCCTTCAAGTGAAATGTTACCATAATATTTTGAACATTAAAATGTTACATTTAAAAAATAAATAAACAAATAAAATAATATTTTAAATATGAAACTAAAACCACCAGCCTATTTTAGTACCACTTTTAAAGATTTAATTGTACTACCATAAATAAAGAAAATTTGTATTATTAAAAAAAATGTGCTGTGTCCAGCTAGGATAATTTAAATATATATATATAACGTATTACAATAGTGAAAATGAGTTTTATTTTATGTAACATTAGGATTTACTTACTATTTATAAAATATAGTTTTGTTTGATTTTGGTGTGAAATTTGACCTGGGCATTTCATCAAAAGATTCAGCATTATACTGAGTGGTGAAAATTATGAAAATAAACACGAAAATCTGAAATGTTGCTGTTTTATTTCACAAATAAAGGGAATTGTTAAACTGTGTGCAAAAATTCTCGTTTATTTTCATATGTTTTGTTTTGATCTTACACCTTTTGGATGTGTGCACTTTTTTTCCTCCTTTCTAGTAGTGAAATTTATGCCATTGTAGATACCATTGTATCTACAAGATACTATAAATTATTTATGTATTATTTTATTGTTTTAATTTACAAAATGAAAAAATGGTTTACATAGCTTCCTCTTTGTACAGGTTTGGTTTGACAGGAGGACCAACTACACCCGCTCACTTGCTGTCATGTCCATGGTTGGTTATATCTTAGGGCTTGGGGACAGGTACAAACTGAGCAAAACTTTTTTTCAGCATTTTATCAGCATTTATCAAAGTAGTTTCATTATTTATTACATTATGAATAATCTCTTTTTTTTACCCTCCAACCACAGACACCCTTCCAATCTAATGTTGGACAGGCTCAGTGGAAAGATACTGCATATCGATTTTGGTGATTGTTTTGAGGTAGATTTTCTTAGAAACTACAACAAATAAGCAAAATACAATAGTTCTGTTCATTCATAACTGAAATGTTGTTTTATATTTTAAGGTTGCAATGACCAGAGAAAAATTTCCTGAGAAAATACCTTTCAGATTAACCCGGATGTTGACCAATGCCATGGAGGTAAGATGGCCATTTTTATGTGAGTGTATTTGGAATGTTAAAGCTCTAAAAGCCTTTTCACATTGTCTTTACTAGCTACTTTTCATGCCTGCGAATTTTTATCAAAATCACTATAAAATTCATTCAGCAGCACTGTAATTTTGTTTAAATCTTTAACCAGGAGAGTTTAAATTCTTTGTACATGTACCAGCATTTCCAGAACACTATGTCTGCGATTCTACGATTACTCATTTAAAGTCTTTGTTTGTTGCTGCAAATGAGGGAGCATAGAACTTTTAAAACCTCCATTACAACCTGAAGTACCCAAACTCCACACCAAACTATGCCTTAAAAAACATATGGGACAAATTTATGATCATATAAGAGTTGTAGAAGGAGATATGTTATAATTATTTTACATGAAATATAAGCAGGGCACACCTGAAGCTCTACTAAAAATTTCCTAAAGTAATTCTCCTTCACTCCACGACAGCAATCACAACAAATATAACCTTTGACTCTAATGTGACAATAATGGGAGAGAAGACTACGCTGGTTCTACTGTTTGGTTTTGCTTGCAGCCTGCGAGAACAACCAATAGAAAACTTGTTTTCTTGTCATTATTTTGTGGTACATTTCATTTAGACGGCAAAATACCAATACAAATACAGCCAAAATACAATTTAGTTTTCCGTGAGATTGGAAATTTAGCAGTTGTCGTTATACAGTGGTACATAAAACACCCTATTTTAACGGTCTATGGCATGGCGCAAGCGCACTTAGGACGTGTCCGAATCCACCTTTTCTAGTTTATCAACAGGAAAAACGGTTGGTGTTCCCGCCGCTTGGTCTAAAAGGATTGTCCCTATTCTCTTAATGAGTAATGGGTGTCCTTTGGGCGTAATGTGCAATAGACCACTCATAGTCTCATCTCCCATTCCCTTTAAAATTCAGTTACGCTTGCGCCATGGCAGATTGCTTTTTACATGCCGGAATTTGCAAGCGGAAAGACTGAACGCTTTTCCAGAGAGCAAACGTATCAGATCGTGCGTGAGGTTAAAGCAGGCAAGCAGACCATCTACGGGACAAGACAGATTCTACCATTTCTTTATGTACACAATATTAATCTTTTACATTGCAAAACTTTTATTTATAATAATAATAATAATCCTTTTCATTTTAAATTAGCGCCTTTCTAATTTAAAATCACTGATTTGTACTTTATTGTAAAGCACAAATCAGTGAGAGTACCAGGTGTAAAAGCAGTGGGGAAGTCGTGTGAGGAGACAGGAGAAATCATGTTTGGAGATCATGATGGGAAGAGATTATGAACGCTATCGATTTTATTTTGAAAGATATGCAGGAATGACTCTCAGAGGTCTGCTGAGTTACTTATGCCTGTGATGAGACGACTCAACGCCTGTGAAGAGACGACTCAACGCCTGCGATATGTTATGGCGCCGTTTGATTCATAAACAATATTTATATTTAATATTTATATTTAAACAATAAGAATGTAAGCCAGAGGAGAACTGGCCCCCGACTGAGCCTGGGTTCTCCCAAGGTTTTTTCTCCATCCAATCTGATGGAGTTTGGTTCCTTGCCACTGTCGCCTTGCTTTTGGCTTGCTTTGAGCTTGCTCAGTTGGGGTTATTTAGTGTTTAGCAATATTGTTGATCTGTGTTGTGCTACTTTCATGTTATCACTGTGAAGCTGCTTTGATACAATCTGTATTGTGAAAAGCGCTATATAAATAAATGTGACTTGACTTGACTTGACTTATGACAGGTGCAGGAGGGATGATGTGTATTTTAGGTTGAGGGGATGCATTATTAATAATAGTAGAGTAGTGACCAGAGCGTGCAGTTTTTCCGCAGATTTGTATAGCTATGGTCAGTGTAAAGCAGTAAGGTAAACAGTCAAACCAGTTTTCCTTTAAAGGCATTCAAGACGACTACCAGCTGTTTTTAGATTGTGCAGGGGTAAACCTGGGAGACGTGTGCGTAGAAGGCACTATCTGTATTCCCATTGCCCTGATATAACTTGAAAGTAGATTAGCATTATATTTGGTAAGGATATCGAGGGAGCTAGTGTGTTCAGTAATATTAGAGAGATGAGTTGTACATATTCAGAGAACAGTAATGGATTAACAGAATTGAGGTTACGGTAGGTAATAGTAACAGTTTAGTTAGGCGATCAGACAGTCCTATCTGAGAACCAAGCACTGAAACATTATGTAGACCAGCTGCGCAGACAAGATCCAGCGTATGACCTTTTGAGTGAGTAGCAAAATCGACATGTTTATTGAAACATTCAAACAATGACAAGAGTTTATGCTATTCTGCACAATCAGTATCAACATGTACGTTGAAATCGCTGAAATAGATTTAGAAATAGAAATAGAAATCGTTGAAATAGATTTAGGTGGATGATACAGGAGAATCAAGAGCATTGGAGATGTACCAGAAACTTTGAGAACTGAATATTCAAAGGTCAAAGGTTAGATTTTAGTATTTGGCTGGTTTGTGTGCTGCTGTGCGTCCCTGTGTGTGTAATAAGCAGAGTATACACGCGCGGTCTAGAGGCTGACATCTTTTTGGGAATCCCGCTGGATGGGAAACAAAATAACTATGTATCACGGGATTGGGACGGGAAAGGAAAAAATGTCAGCCGGAGTGGGCGGGACCGGGAATCATAATAAAACTATGATACCCAACTTTATGCACAAATATACAGTTTCTATAAATACATTTTGAACTAAATTCTATTTATCCCATCTCTTTATGCTCTCCTGTTTGCTTTGGTGTGGCTGGTAATGTGAATGATGTGCTCCACACACCTATACCAGTTGGTGGCTGTAATATACATAGCTGCCAACTCTCATGCATATTGGCCGTGAGACACCCACATTTGATTTGCGCTCACACGCCACACCCACGATTTCTCAAGAAGTGGCAACCTGGTCGGTCAAATGTCTGGAAGATGACAATGCGTCGCACCTGACACTACATTGCACCATTTGTATGATAGGCCCCATGGCCTTAGAAACATCCACATACACTCTTAAACTCAGATTTCCACTTAAAATAACCCCTGCATTGTCCATTTTGCATGATTGACATTCCCTATATTTTTGGCTGAATAACAGATCATGTTTCCTCTTAGGTGACTGGACTGGATGGTAACTACCGTATTACATGTCACACGGTGATGGAGGTACTGCGTGAACACAGGGACAGTGTCATGGCTGTGTTGGAGGCCTTTGTATATGACCCATTACTCAACTGGAGGCTTATGGATAGTAAGCACACAACTTTTACTTATTCAAAATACTTAAACATACCAGAGCCACACACATACAGTACAGTGGTGTGAATAAGTTTTGACACCCATGCTAAAGTTGCCTAAAAAGAGGAATAAAAAATCATCTTTTGGATGTTGATCTTAATGCCTTAATTAGAAAAATTAGGAAAACTCCAACCTTTAAGGACACAAATTTTCTTTGTAAATGAATAATGTATCATAAATAAATAAATGTTTTTCCTTAAAATACAGGGTGCATAAGTCAGGGCACCCCTATGTTAAATTCCCATAGAGTCAGGAAGATTTTTATTTTTAAAAGCCAGTTATTTCATGGATCCAGGATAATATGCATCCTGATAAAGTTCCCTTGGCCTTTGGAATTAAAATATCCCCACATCATCACACACCTTCCACCACACCTAGAGATTGGCATGGGGTACTTTCCATAAGATCATCTTTCAATGCAAATCAAATCAGCTATTAGGCTAACTGAAGTAAAACCATGCCAATCTCAAGGCATGGTGGAAGGTGTGTGATGATGTCGGTCTATTTTAATTCCAAAGGCCAAGGGAACTTTATCAGACTTTATCAGGATATTATCCTGGATCCATGAAATAACTGGCTTTTAAAAATAAAAATCTTCCTGACTCTATGGGAATTTAACATAGGGGTGCCCTGACTTATGCACCCTGTATTTTAAGGAAAAACATTTATTTATTTATGATACATTATTCATTCACAAAGAAAATTTGTGTCCTTAAAGGTTGGAGTTTTCCTCATTTTTCTAATTAAGGCATTAAGATCAACATCCAAAAGATGTTTTTTTTTATTCCTCTTTTTAGGCAACTTTAGCATGGGTGTCAAAACTTATTCACACCAGTGTATATGGTTATGACGACATTTGGCAATGATCCTTATTGTAATTGTAATCGTTACCGTGTAGTGTGATAAAATAATAGGAAATCTGAACGCAATTGGTCACAGGCGACAAATTGAAACACATGATAACATCAGGTGAAATGCATCCAATGCATCTTAGCTGAGCACTTGTGATGGGATCACAAACAACGCATCTTAATACCAGGTGGAAACAGGCATCTCTCCTGCATTCTCATCAAGGAGTCATTATCAAGAGACTCACAGAGCTTCCGGGAGAGATGGGATTTTTGAGAATGACCATTTCTATAAATTTTACACGAAATTATGCGATCTGAGGGATCAGAGCAACAGAGGGAGTTCACGGACAGAAAACAGGAGTTATGAGTTATATGACTTAACCGGAGTGTAATATGACATTTGCGGATGCAAGAAGTCTGGTATCAACAAAGGCAGAGAGAAGCAACCAGAAAACTTGAAACCTTATAAAAATGCAATTATCATAATGGGGTGAATTCAGGCAATGGCAAAAAGTGTCCCAATCAACCTGAATTCACCCTATTTGCTTTGTCTAAGTTCTTCAAGCACTCTATGATATTTTCCATGATCCTATGTGTATGTGGTATGACAATGGTTTGCATAAGTAGCCTCATTTCTCATTTCATTTCATTTCTCATTTCTGCCTCATACGGTGATCAGAATCCACATCTGATTGAAATCTGAAGTTTTTTTCTCACACTTGCTGGTGTTTTGAGCTGAAAATTATTTTAAATGTCGAGGTTATCTGGATATGAAAGCATGGGAAATGAGCAGTGGTGTTGACCCTCTCCTGAGTCTGACTATGATAAACTCAAGCCTCAATTGGCCCACTTTGGACCAAGGTATTCGGCAGGCCAAAAAAACCCTGGTTGTTTGCCCCAAGCAAGCTCGATCAAGCTCTAGAAGCAACATTGAAAATGCGACGGGCCCTGTCATTCACTAGCACGTTCCCTTTTAGGTTCCTAACACGGCTATGGGTTGTACAGTGGGTAGCACTTTTGCCTCAAAGCAGGAAGGTGCCCAGTTCGAGTCCTAGCTGAGCCAGGAGGCGTGTGGAGTTTGCATGTTCTCCTCGTTTCTGTGGGGATTTCCTCCATGTCCTCCAGTTTCCACCTCAATATAAAAACATCGAGCAGCCTAGGTGAATTGGAGACTAAATTATCTGTAGTTATGAATGTATGTTTCTGTGTGTAACTGGCTATGTATCCAGGGACTCCTTTGTGTCCAGGCTGAGCTACACCTCCTGGCTCCGCTAAGACTTGAAACTGGCACCTTTCTGGTGTTAGGCAAAAGTGTTACCCGCTGAGCCACCATTTTGCCCAAAATATTGTAACTTTTGTTGTTTTTTGTTTTTTTGCAAACAACCTATTTCATTATATCTCAGTAGATACCATGTTTATCAGTAATTAAGTGTTTGAAGAATAGATGGATAAATAAACTATTTAATGTGTCATTGTTACAAGTTAGAACAAGTTAGGGTGAGAAGTTTCAGTTAGGGTTAGAATTCAACACTAAGAAGTGCTGAATAATGCATATGTCTATATGGTTAGGGTTTGTTTGGGTAAGTATATGCAACATGAATAAAAAGCACTGTAAAATAGTGTTACTGTACTGTATCATCTTCCAGCAGGAATAGTTTAACTACTAAAACAAACCAGTCAAAACCTGGTCCATTGGTAACTAGCAACAACAACTAAAAAAGATCCTTTTTCTTACACCATTCTTTTCTCTTCTTTCTTTTAACCTAAAATATGCATGTTAGGTTGACAGTCAATCCTCGGATGTATGTGAATGTCAAGTAACTAAATGTTTCTGTTCTCTCCTACAGCAAACACTAAAGGAAACAAGCGCTCCAGGACCAGAACTGACTCCTATACGGCAGGACAGTCTGTTGGTGAGTCTTGACTTTAACCCATTCTAATAACCAATACCATAATAGGTTAAACTCCCCTATGAAATACCTTGACAAGCACAGTTTTCGGTAAAACTTTATTTTGACGGTCCCTTTTGAACATTCTGTTGACTGTAAGTAACTTTGCAACTACATGTAAATTTTTTCTAACCCTACCAGTCAGCTAACAATCTAATGAGATTTAGTAGACATGTAGGTGCAATGATACTTATAGTCAACACAATGTGTTAAAGGGACCATCAAAATAAGGTGAAAACCAGTTTCCTTTTCATGTGACTTATTTCCTTCTGAAATAGGAAGTTGGGGCATATGGAAATGTAGCAAGTAGCCTTTAATTTACATCACAGCAGTGATCCATTATTTGTTACTTTGCTACCAGTTTCTTTTTGTTTTTTTATTTTTTTATTTTAGAAGCACAGTACTATATAGAAGACCTCAAGCTAAAGTCTTGTTCACACAGAAATTACAGAATATACACTGAGAAGTTGTTCCGGCAACTGTTCTGTCATTGCATGATTTTGTTCACACTGCCAGAGCTTTCCCGTATACAATGCTTGCATTCACAAACAACTCACAAACAGTAAAGACTTAAGTGACGTTATGATATGACATCTAATGTACTCATCCAGAATTTTAATCAAAACCAATGCATGTTCATGGGAATAGAACCACAAATTTAATTTTGTGGTATGTTTTTGCTTTGTTTCATGCAGAAGCCATGGAGGGTATTGACCTGGGAGAAGCCACCCACAAAAAGCCAGGAACTACAGTGCCTGAGTCAATTCACTCCTTCAGTAAGTCCTTGAAGACTTAACTTCACTCCTTAAAGGCCATGGTGCAGATTAAACACTACTGTCGATTAATGGGTACATAAAGCAGTTAAGATATGTATATAAAGTTAGAAATTTCTCCAAAATGGTGTTAAAGTCCAGTTTTTGTAGTTTTTGTTTAGTGACGGTAATTTTTCACGCAACTCGGCGATGGTGTCACATGAGGTACAGTAGATGCAGGCTGCAGGCAGGCAGCGGCGCGCTTCAGAATTGGTTCACAGTAAACGCCCCAGACATTCGACTAGGTTAGGGTGACCAACAGTCCTGTTTTCCCATTCTGTTTTCACGTCCTGTCCTGGCTGTTTTTTTTTTTTTTTTTAATTATGAAAATGTTCTGGTTTTCAAATAACTTTAAATCAAATAAGCTCTAAAGCAAAACATAGATGGGCAAAAAAGGAGGATGAGGAAGAAAAACAGTATAAAGAGGAAGAAAACTAAAGATACATTTTGTTAGTTCGTTTTTGTACGTTTGTGAGAGCTATTTTTGTTAAATTTGGAGGTGTTTCTTTTAGTTATTTCTTAACCCTCAGGTGCTCTTAGTTTCGGAGTCACACTTGTTATCTTCCCGGTCAAAAGTGACCGGACACCTAAAAATGAAACTTTCTCCATCCCAGTAAAACCAATGCAATTTATTTTTGTTCTATAATATTTATTCTTTTTAATTTAGTATTTTGAGACAATTTAAATGAATTTATTAATATTTATGCAATATTTATGGTTTATTTTTGCCATAGAAAAATATATATTATTTTCTATATATTATTTTCTTCAAAAAAATATTAATGCAGTATTTTAGTTTAATATAGAGTCTAGGCCTTCAGAAGAAAAATATTTTTTGAAGAAAATTAGCACCATCTGGTTACAGTATAGAGAAAAAGCGTAGAATCATGGTGTAACCACTTGATGGCATGTACAGCTCTCTATTGAGAGGCATGTGAATTCCCCAGCTGTTTATGAACACATTTTTGTTGTTGTTGTTGTTGGTGGATTTGTATATATAGTTGAAACAATCTCAAAAACTATTTCTTATAAAAAAAATGACAAAAAACAAATATTCACAATTTTTTTTCTTTTTTTTTTTTTTACAATTTCCCATTCATTTCCTATGGGGTCATTTTTGACCAAAGACCACAAGTGTGACTATTTTTTTTAAGACCACTTAGCATGCTCAGATCATGACCTAAATTTTTTTGTGTGTTCACATACATAATGCCATAAAAGTCACTAAGTTTCGTAACATCGCGATGAAGCTGTGATTTTTAAAAATTCAAAACATACTTTTTGTAATCAAAATTTATTGGTGTGTATGTGTATAAAAGTGTGTTTGTATGTGTGTGTGTGTGTGTGTGTTGGTGGGTGTGTCTGTTTTGCACTCTAGATGTTGTAGAGTGTCACCCCTTTCCTGCGGTGTACTTTTTTTTTTTTAGAATTGTGGCCGATTTGTAGATTGTACATACAAAAATGTAGAGAATTTTTTTTGTATCAATTTCCCATTCATTTCCTATGGGTTGTCATTTTTGACAGAAGAGCAAAAGTGTGACTCATTTTTTTACGACCACTTAAATTGCTCGAATCATGACCTCAATTTTTTTGTGTGTTCACATACCCAATGCCATAAAAGTCACCAAGTTTCGTAATTTTCTGAAGAAGCTGTGATTTTTAAATATTCAAAACAGATTTCTTTAATCACAATTTATTGGTGTTTTTGTGTATAAAAGTGTGTGTGTATGTGTGAGCGTAGGGGTGGGTATGTCTGTTTTGCACTCTTGATGTTTTACAGTGTCACCCCTTCAATGCTGAGCACTTTTTTTCTGCATCGTGGCCGATTTGTAGATTGTACACACAAAAATTCTCAAAGTTTTTGTGTTTTTGTCAATTTCCCATTCATTTCCTATGGTCGGTCATTTTTGACCGAAGAGCACAAGTGTGACTATTTTTTTTACGACCACTTAGCATGCTCGGATCATGACCTCAATTTTTTTGTGTGTTCACATACCCAATGGAATAAAAGTCACCAAGTTTCGTAACATTCCGATGAAGCTGTGATTTTTAACATTTCAAAACATACATTTTTTCGGTCAGAAATGACCGAAGAGCACCTGAGGGTTAATTATATATTTATTTTTCTAATACAGAAGAGACATTTCATTCATTCAAACCTGTAATAATTATATATTTATTTTTCTAATACAGAAGAGACATTTCATTCATTCAAATCTGTAATAAAACAGGCTCTGAGAAGGCGTTTCTGAATTTGTGTCTTGTAATATAACCATTTTCTATCCATACAGAGGAGGCATAGCTACTTTAAATTTACTGATACAAATGTAACGTGCCTAACTCAGCATCCTGGATATGAGGCATAATGCCTGAATCCATTTGTGCTACACATACTCATACTTCATGCAGGATAATGGTCCCCTTCAAGCCAGCACGCAAGAGTATGTTCATGGTTTATATTTACTTCACCTGTTTATTTTTTACACGGAGTCCTTTGAACAACAGCTATATAACAGAAGATGTGTTGCATACACAATAAACATGCATCAGAGACGTTTCCAACCTACTTAGAGTTTAAAACTTAAGAATAATAATAATAATAAACTTTCCTACTTATCCCTAGGCAATACCAGTACACTGTGTACAGGCAGGCTATACGCTGGGCTTATGGAGTTTTAGGCAGGAGAATAAGAAGCCTCTCGTGTGGTTTCAACCATCAGACAACAATTCCAGTCGTGACCAGACCCATCAGGGCTTTCAATCGCCTCGTTTGGATGAAAATTAATTTTTTAAAAAAATTGCTTATTCTGTTTCGATCCCCCAATTGCCCTCAAAATGTTATAAAGTACACAGAACACATAAATTTTTATTAGAAAAAAACTGTTTATTGGCATTGCTTGTAATGGTTACTAAACATTTACTGAACAAGTACAAAGATTACTGAACAAAGACACAAGTAAACAAATCTATATAAAAAAAAGCCCACTGATGAAGTGCATCAGGACAAACTGGCGCTAGCTGCAGGTGAATTGATGTAGCTATCCCGAAGAGCCTTCATTAATGATGTTGCATAACCTGCAGAATTAGTAATAATACTGTATAAAGATCATTGTCACTAATGGAAAAACATGAAATTGTCCTGCATATGAATTATAGCAAACATAAACAGTACAGAATGTTATAAGATTGCAAGGGAGATTACTGTACAGTGGACCCTGATATGCGGTACTAAATGTTTTAAAATGTACATAAAAGAAATTCAGACCATATTTGATGATTTGAATGGTACTATTAAATGTTTACAATACTAGTGGTCATACATGTAGTAAAGTTACATAAACTCTATGAGGAAGTGAATTACTGAGAGGTAACTTAGCTAAACTCTGAAGTGAAAAGTGGATAAACTGTTTCTGACATAATTTCAGCAGTGGGTAAACTGCGGTTAGCTCCACTACAGCCCTGACGACACAGTCAAATGTGAAAGAGAACTGTAGCAGTCTATAACAAAACGCTAACACACGATTGCGAAAAGCCGCTTGATGATCATCACCACTGATCCAAACACTAGCCACGAAGCTTTCATGGCGAAATGGACATTTACTGAGTGGGGGTTCAATCTTCAACTGGCTGGCAGGAGCTGCCACTGGCAGGTCACGTGACCTGTCAGTGGCTGACTGGCAGCTGCCAGTGGCTGGCTGTGGCTGGCTATAGTTGTCTGTCAGTCTGCCTTTGGCAAGTTTCAGAAACCATTGATTTTTGACAGTGTTTGTGTTTTGTGTTCCTCCCTTTATAGCTCATTTATTATGCATCTGTTGAAATGATTATGTTATTTAGTAGGATTCATGTTTTGGGGAATGTTATCCCAATTTAACCAGTCAAATGGCTATGATCAGACTGGCAGGCTTTGCTCGACGATCTTCCAGTCAGCCGCGGCTGATACTGTGAGTATAACGTGTTGCCTGACACTCTCGCTACAAGGAAATAAATTGTTTTTTTATTATGAATATAATGTAATGCTTTTATTCTTGTATATGATTGGTGTTTTGGGTACTGTTATCCCGATTAAACCAGTCGAATGGCCGTGATCAGACTGGCAGCTTGCAGACGCTTGCTGGACACTCATGGAGTCAGCCCCGGCTGATACTGCGAGTCTAACGTGTCGCCTGACACTCTCGTTACAAGGAAATAAATAGTTTTTTTATTATGAATATAATGTCATGCATTTATTCTTGTGTATGATTGGTGTTTTGGGTACTGTTATCCCGATTAAACCAGTCAAATGGCCGTGATCAGACTGGCAGCTTGCAGACGCTTGTTGGACGTTCATCCAGTCAGCCGCGGCTGATCAGCGAATATAACGCGTTGCCTGACACTCTCGCTAAAAGGAAATAAATTGTTTTCTTATTATGAAAATAATGTCATGCCTTTATTAGTGTGTATGATTGGTGTTTTGTGGACTGTTATCCCGATTAAACCAGTCAAATGGCCATGATCATACTGGCAGCTTACAGACGCTCATCCAGTCAGCCACGGCTGAGACTGTGAGTCTAACGCGTCGCCTGACACTCTCGCTAAAAGGAAATAAATTGTTTTCTTATTATGAATATAATGTCATGCCTTTATTCTTGTGTATGATTGGTGTTTTGGGTACTGTTATCCCGATTAAACCAGTCAAATGGCCGTGATCAGACTGGCAGCTTGCAGACGCTTGTTTGACGCTGATCAGCGAATATAACGCGTTGCCTGGCACTCTCGATAAAAAGAAATAAATTGTTTTCTTATTATGAATATAATGCCATGCCTTTATTCTTGTGTATGATTGGTTTTTTGGGTACTGTTATCCCGATTAAACCAGTCAAATGGCCATGATCAGACTGGCAGCTTGCAGACGCTTGTTGGACGCTCATCCAGTCAGCCGCGGCTGATCAGCGAATATAACGCGTTGCCTGGCACTCTCGCTAAAA